ACGTTGCCTCGCATTGCTAGTAAGTACATAATACTAAGTAAAACTTAGTATTACTATAGTAAAGGAAACCTTTAGCTAGTAGAAAAATATTATACACGCGGCGTCTAAGCACGTGTTAGATGTAATTTGTACTTAAGTTTTATCACCGAATACCTGACTAACGAGGTAAAGGCAGATAAATAGAATAATGACCATAGATAAAGATGTACCGTATATCATAGAGCAAAAATAATATAACGGAATAATTCTATTACTTCGTCGTAATACTTCTCAATCAATTATATCAGTCATTATTTAATTATGATACAAATACAAATTAATTGATTCCACATTTAATAAATCGACACCAAACATTTGTCCGCATCACATAGAAAAACGCGTTCTTTACTTTTCGTTTGTTTTTAAACGGTTTTATTTAGCTCGACCCGTACGGAATTTGTATGTTTATTTATTTGGGTCAAAATTAGAAATTGAAATTTAAGCACCTTGCCGTTGTCAGATTGATCTGAAATTTGGTACACACATTTAATTTAGATGACAATACAATATTAACAAAAAAAAAAACATAAAATAAAACCGTTTAACTTAAAAGTTTTTTAAAGTAATTATTGTAGATTGTGTTTTTAAACGGTTTTATGTAGCTCGACACGTACGGAATTTGTTTATTTATTTGGGTCAAAATTAGAAATTGAAATTTGATTGAATTGAATTCTGAAATTTGGTACACACATTTAATTTAGATGACAATACAATATTGTAGTTTTCAGTGCACAAAAAAAAAAACAGAAAATAAAACCGTTTAACTTAAAAGTTTTTAAACGGTTTTATTTACTCTATCGCCGGTGATAACAATAACTCTGTGGTTGTAGCAAAAATACTTGTTTTTTTTTTTTTTGTAATTATCAACAAAACAGGTCTCTGACATCATAGTAATTAGGTCCACGGGGCGTTCACGTGATGGCACGCTAACGACCTTACAACGAGCAACTCTTAAGAGAATAGAGTCCGATAAGGGTCAGTGGCTAGAAAATCTCGCGTTCCGTATTAATCTCAGATCTGAGACAACCAGTGAGTTAGTTTTCCCAATACAACTCTTAAGTTGCACATTAGAGTAACTAGTCAAAAACAAATCGAAAAATTCTAATGCACCGTATGATAGACGTATTGACGAATTAATGATCTCGGCTTAAATCATAAATACAATAAGCGGTTGCCCTTGACCAAAACTTGTTGTGTGAAAGACACGAGAGTGTCTTTTTAGGGTTCCGTACTCAAAGGGTAAAACCTAGACTCCGCCGTCTCTCCGTCCGTCTGTCACCAGGCTGAATCTAATAAACTGTGATAGTTAGACAGATGATGTATTTCTGTTGCCGCTATAACAAACTATAAAACAGAACAGAAAATTAAGTATGGCACCCCTACAACAGACATTTTTGCCGTTTTTAAAGATAATGGTAAGGAACCCTTCGTGCGCGAGTTTCACTCGCACTCGGTTTGTAATCGAGTCATTCGAAACAGATTATTGGATATGACATTAGGATTGGAGCAGACCCGAAGTTCCTTCGGCTAGATGCATGGGTCCGATCGTGAAATCATACACGAACAAAGTTCCGGTTTGCGATTACGGTAAAGATATGTGTATTATCACAGCAAAACTTGCCCCGCATTTATCTTTGGTTAACGTTGATAGCCCCTGTCGCGTTTGATATCGAATATCGGTCAAGATTGACCGTTTTATAAAAGTAAATTTCGGCAGGTTGACCGCTTGTACGTAAGCGACTTTCAAATCTGAAAATAAATACCGTGCAAAACCAATATTTATAACGCGATCACGTTCTCAGTGTATCCGAGGTGCTTGGAACATTAAGTGTCGTTCATTTACCCTGTAGGACCGGTTCTTTATTTCTCCACTTCGGTCACATGCTTTTATACTATTTTTCGTTTTGTATCTCCATCGACCATAGTGGCCACTTTCATCTGAATATCAGATCGGAATATCTATGGTGATCCGAACTAACCAGTTCCTAATGTTCTTGAGTTAACTCTCTTCTCTCTTCTCAACAGAAACTGCTTTCCTCTCTTCTCAACAGAAACTGCTCTCCTCTCTTCTCAACAGAAACTGCTCTCCTCTCTTCTCAACAGAAACTGCTTTCCGAACCGGTGGTACCTTACGAACCTATATACATAATCTTTGATGTGAAATTTGGCGATTCACAAGAGCGCGTAAACGTCTATTTGAATAAATATATTGATTTTGATTTTTGATTTTGATTTTTGCTTCTGATTTTTATTTTCATTTTTGATTTTTGATTTTGATAACAAATTCGTTGACTATAAATGTGGGACCAATTTCGCATAAAAAATCAGAATGACTCTTATGAATGACCTACGACGAACGAATTATTAAACGAAGAGCAAGCTACGTAGACCATTACTATAGTTATATCTTTGTTACGCATTTTGTTAGGTTCTGTTCATGCTTCTGTATTGCAGGCCCTGGGCCGACGCAGCCGTCTCAGCCATCACAGATTAAAAATATTTCTATTGCCTCATTCAATAGACGAAACGCGTTAGCAAAATATTTCCAATGCTTCATTTCCATTTCAATCTTTCGTGAGGCCTCGGTACTTTCCAGAGGTGGCGGTTAACCTGAAGTTAAGTGACTACTGCCGCCGATGGACATTTTTTTTATGTTAAAAGTTGCCAAACGAGCAGACGGTTCACCTGATGTTAAGTGAATACCGCCGCCCATGGATATCTGCTACACCCGAGGGTTTGCAGATGCGTTGACAACCTTTTTGGAAATTGGGCTCCGGCTACCTCACTCACCAGACGAAACGCGAAAGTACTAGACTTCCACTTTACGCCGGTCCTCTGTGAGTGACATGTATACTTCCTGAGGTATAACAGATGCGTTATCAAATTTTAAAAAGATGTGTGACTCTTAGATGTGACAATAGCAGTAACACAGTGGTACATTTATACACCATACCTATTTTGTATCCCTCTGTATAGAGGAGGCCTTTGCCCAGCAGTGGGACATGTATAGGCTGTTACTTTACTTTTACTTTACCTATTTTGTATATATTATGGTAAACCATTGAAATATCCACGTAATCAAATATTAGTGATTTCTGCACATCAGGAATTCGACTTCATTAAAATCGAATACGCAAATATCATACTAGCTTTTCGCCCGCGGCTTCTCTCTCATTGAAGCCCTTAAATCAATATCTTTAAACACTTTACAACACTTTTTTCCAATTAAAAAGTAGCCTATGTCCTTTCTCAGGCTCTAGACTATCTGTGTACCAAATTTCATTTAAAGAGATGAAACAGGCAGACAGAGTTACTTTCGCATTTATAATATTATACTCATTCCACTAAGTTCTATTTGCCCAAGTTTTTAATACCTATATTTATTATTCTTTCACCAACATTAGTATTTTCTATTCTTCTTTATTGAAATACAACGTACAACGGTTTACTGCAGCGCCGAGCACTCTTTAAGCAATGGATTTCTATTTGATAATTTTATTGATGCTTGTGCCAGTACCGACACATCGTTTGGTTTTTCGCTACATGTGAAAACTCCGAATCCACATCCACCTGTTTATTGGTTTTAGGGTTCCGTAACCAAATAGTCACACGGGACCCTATTACTAAGATTCCTCTGTATTTATGTTTGTCTGTCACCTGACTGTATCTCACGAACCGTACACATGATGTATTTCTGTATAAAAAAACAATTACCAAAAAAAGGAATAAAAATATTTAAGTGGTGCTCCCATACAACAGATATGATTATTTGCCATTTTATAGATATTGATGCGGAACCCTTCGTGCGCGAGTCCGACTCACACTTGGTCGGTTTTTTTATCAGTTATTCTTACATTATTTGTGACATTTAACTTTCCTTAAGAAATCTTTCAATTTATCTCTTTTAACCCCTACGGTGGTAGGGCCACGCAACAGTGTTCGCTGTTGCACGAATGGGCAGGTCCGTCCGGGTTAGTACCACGACCTCACAGAAGACTGGCCTAATGTAGAAGTATTGCACTTCTGCATTTCGTCTGGTGAGTGAGGTAGCCGGGACCCATATTATTAAGAGGTGGCAACGCATCTGCAACCCTACGGGTGTTGCAAATGTCCACGGAGAGGCGATTATCACTTGCCACTCTCTCACATCAAAAAAAAGAAAAAAGACTAGTTAATGGATTTTGATTTAATATCCCGACCTTTTGAATACTTTACAGCTTTGGAAATGGGATGGGATGGTTTAATTATTAACCTAAGAGTAAAAATAGGCCTTAAAAATATTCTTATAGATTATTGATAAAATTATATTTTCGTAAAGACGATAAATTGTACATTACTTATATCAAATTGAAAGATAAATCTCTTATTTTCGATTATAAATTCTAAACTTATAACACTAAGAGAAAAGTGTAGAAAATCGGACATTCGCAATAATGCATGTTGACTGTCATTTTAGTAAGAATTATTTATATTGCTCAATTACGTTATTTAAAACAAATTACGAATTGTGAGGGGAAAAAGTTATTAAATTTATCCACACGTGTGGATCGATGCCAATAACTTAGTTTATTATAAAAACACTACAAAGCATTGACGTATATAATATGTTTATCATACGTAGCAATTTATCCGACCCACTTCCAAGGTAGTAAGCAAAAGTCGATTCAAAACATTTCCAGCAAGACCACCATTTTCGTATTAAGGTATAACTGTTTTATTTTAATTGTATAAACTATCAATATTAATTATAAAACCTCAAGAGCGTCTAACTTTAGCTAATTTTCTAATCCATTTAACATTAGTGATACATTAAATTAGTATACATATTACAAGTTGCCTAATATATAATAAATAAAAACGCCTCATAAAAATTAAACCAAAAATAATTAAAAATAAAAAAGAATTATTCATATCAAAAACGGTTCAATTTAATCTTAAAATCGATATTATAAAATGCTTACCGTTTTGGTGTACTCTTCTCTTTCCGCTTGTTTGTATATGACTGCATATACTATATGTGTTATATAACTATATTATATTATATTGGACTTTATGTATGTTACGTAACAGATGTTGCCTTTGCGCGATCCACGCTACTACTGAATTCGCATGCTCGCGCGCCGTATCCTATGATGGTCACAAGCTTAGATCTTTACTTGACAAACCTTGCTCCACGGCGACGTCCGAATTTTATTTATTTATTTTTATTGAGTACGGCCCGAACGGCGTAGCGGGTAGTTTACCTGCCCCCCTGCGTCCGAGTGTTGGTTCAATCCCCACTACTGGAAAAATATTGCGCCTGGGTGTTCATATGTGTATAATATGTATGTATTTATAAAAGAAAAGTATGTATCAATTATCTAGCACCCATAGTACAAGCGTTGCTTAGTTTTGGACTAGAGAACGTTGTGTAAAAATGTGTCCTATAATATTTAAAAAAAATTGATTTATTTATTACTTACTTTAGCTGCTTCCGATGACGGAGGCAGCTGAAGTAAGTGGCGCAAATATAAGTCTCTATGTTTAACTACATTCTTTATTTGTACCAGTTGCTGTTGAAACTGTGGGTACATGGGGTCCTCGCAAAATTTTTTAAAGGTTTTTGTCCTAGCTTTAATGCCGCGGCTGGTAACAAGAGATAAGGTTCTTTTCTCACTCAAAGGTTAAGCTTAACTATTCAGCGAGGAAATGCAGCAAGAGTTCTTGGCACCATGCCGCGTGCATTAGGTTTATTAGATAATATGTAATTTAAGATAGAATTAATCTTGTAAATATTAGATAAATATTTTTTATGCGAATAGTTGGCGAACGAGCGGACGATTCACGTGATTTTACGTGATTCCGCCCATGGACGTGCACAACACCTGAGGGATTGCTTAGGCGTTGTTAACTATAAATGGGCCCCGGTTACCCGATGGCTCAGTCGTGCAGTCACCTAGGTATGGGCTTCGGCGCCGGGGGTTGTGAGCTCGGTTCCCCCACGGGGCAACTATTTGTGTACCCACAAATGACTGTTTCAGATCTGGTTGTTTGTCCACGTGAACCACGTGAAATTTGTGTGTATATGACGTGAAGAACACAGGATGATGTTACCCTGCAGTAAGGGAAATGTTTAAAAAACAAAACAAACTTTACTCACCCGACGGTGGTAGGGCCACGCAGCAGCCTCGGCTGTTGCACGAATGGGCAGGCTCGTCCGCGGGTAAGTATCACGACCTCACGGAACACCGGCGTCAAGTGGAAGTATAATACTTTGGCGTTTCGTATGGCGAGTGAGGTAGCCGGAGCCCATTTTTCAAAAGGTTGCCAACGCATCTGCAGACCCTCGGGTGTAGCAGATGTCCATGGGCGGTGGTATTCACTTAACATCAGGTGAACGGCCTGCTCGCTTGGCAACTTTCACATTAGTACACAAGTAAGTTTGAACAAAAAAAAACTTACTTCAATCAGGAAACTAAAAAACATTGTCAAAACCTATAATATTTAAGGATTGCCCTCGATTTCTCTGGGATGACATCATCAGATCCGGGTTTCCTTATCATGGTACCACCCTTGAGATATCTCCTTTCCTACAAAAAAAGAATCATAAAAATTGGTTTATAAACGACGAAGTTATCCACGGACACACATAAAAATATAATATAATAATCGAATTGAGAAACCTCCTTCTTTTTTGAAGTCGGTTAAAAAAAGACGAAACGAAAGGGTATACTACCACTACACGCAGGTATCCTGAGGCCACGGTACTTCCCCGGACGAGGCTTTCCATCCGAGGAACAGCAGTAAACGCTCCGTGACCCTAGCACAGTAATAACGTCATTACAGAACGCGGTAATGAACATGCTAATCGGCTCTAGGTCTGACATTGATTCGAATCCCGATCAGTGACCCACCAAGGAGTATTTTATGTAAGGAATCTTTACGTGCAAAATCTAATGCCTCTCGATCGTTCTTCGCGTTATTTGAACGTAAAAGGATAGACGGAATGATGGAAGGATGATTTATTTATGCCTGCTCCATCAAGAATGGATACTGTTTACAGTACGTATTTACGTAATAGTTTCTTGTTTTGAAGCGAAAACTATACATTGTAATAATTAACGAGTTTTGTCGCGTTTAACTATTTTATATTTTTTTTTATAATAAAATATCCGAAGTTGAACACTTTACTGAATCCAACATCACGGATACAATAAAGTGTTTGACGCGTAATATTATGTTACGATTAGTTAATACTTTGTCGAATCTATGTAGAATTTGTTTTTTTTTAATTCAAAACTGGCTAGGTCTTGACTGCCATCCCACCTGATGGTATGTGATTTTGCGATGAGGACCGATATTAAAATTCAAAATCTATAATCCAAAACTAAGAAAATCAACTTTGTTACAATAATTACAAGACTTTTTGTTAAAACTGTTTACGTGACAGTATATTGTTTTTACGTAAACACAATTACACATTGTCATATTTTACGAGTTTTGTCTTTTATCTATTTAGAGTTTTTTTTCTTTTCTATTTTTCTTTTCTTTTCTTTTCTTTTCATCTTTTGACTATTTAGAGTTGAGTTTTGGGTTTTTAATTAATGAAATTTGCGAGAAATCTGCATTCCCTTTCCAGGGTTTAGACTTATCCCATCTTTCTTTATGATTTTTTTGATCATGTAATTTAAACTTTTTAAGTTGTCAGTAGTTTATAGCAGCTATCTTTCCTTCTACTCAGGACTCTCTTGAAACGATCTTCTTGATGGCCTTACATACAAGTGGTGACTCACAATTGAGCCACACACCCAGTCGTATGGGAGATATTGCACTGTGCAAATGGTATAAGTTGACTAAAGAATCACGGCCTCACAGAAGAAGACAGTGAATTCATAGTTTAAATTTATTATGTTCATAGTTTTTTTTATAATAATATACTTTTTTCAAGGTACAAAGTTTTAGGTTTACAAAAATTACAAGCACATGTGTGGTAATAACATACTGAAAATTAAATAATTTATGAACTGAACGGTTCTGACCTCCTAAGTAGGTAATTTCATGACCTGTGTTTAGGAGACCCAGTTCCATTCCCCCAATTTGGAATATGAAAATGAATGGTGAAAATGAAGTAATTGAACATATTACACTATCCCACTTCATCTGGAAATTGAGCTAACTGGAGCCCACTTTTAACGCTTGTCAAAGCATTTGGAACCTGTCAGGTGTAGATGCTCTTGGGGGGCCTTATTGAAAAAAAAATCTGTTACGTTATAAATCGAAGCATCGAAGTTAGGACCGGTGACTTTCTAGACAAGTGCACTGACCTTTAAGCTACGAGGTCACGATTGCATCGAAAGTTTAAATCTGGACTGATCTAATCCAATAAGAACACGTGAAAGGTTAGCAGTGAATGTACGAAACAAAAGATATTTATATCACAAGTGTTGTGAAATTACGTATGTCGAATTTAAATTTGCCCAACATTGTTAGTTTTTGTAAGAGCAAACCCCAAGATTGTAAGGATTTTTACTTATTTTATTCACGAAACGAGAAGATCACTATTAACTTCAACACCAGGATTTGTTCATTTAAAATCGCATCTCTAATTATAAATAAATATAAAATTAATTATAAATTTCAACAGCAAAAAGCAAGAATTCTGAACAAATTCTTCGAAAGGGTTTAGTTTCCTGAAAGGCTATGACAACCAGGAAATAAAAAATGCTACAAGTAACGAACTTAAGTCAGCCACGTCTAACAGAAAAGTATAAAAAATGCCATCTCGTTTATTTGTGATTTAAATGTCAGTTGTGATGTAATTAAGTTAGTCAACTTGACCTGTAAATGTCAAGTTCGCTCGATATTTCAAAGGTAAATATTGATACTAGAAATTATTAAAAAAAGGCATTATATTATTTGAGCCATTTTATATTTAACTGTATAAATAATTGCTATACTATCATAAATTTCAATATTTGTCTGTATGTTTTGTACATTCTAATCGCCACGGTGGCTAATTTGATTTGAAAATTATTTTGAAAAAATAATAAACATTACGGGACATTTTTGGACATATTTTTACAGAACGTTATCTAGTCCCGAACTAAGTGAAGCTTATACTAAATGGATACTAATGGATACTAGGTAAGTTATAAACATACTTCAAGAAGGGTGCATACTCTACGGTGGTAGGGCCACGCAGCAGCCTCGGCTGTTGCACGAATGGGCAGGCCCGTCCGGGTGAGTACCACGACCTCACAGAAGACCAGCGTAAAGTGACAGTATGACAAATACTTTCGCGTTTCGTCTGGTGAGTGAGGTGGCCGGAGCCCAATTTTCTAAAGGTTGTCAACGCATCTGTAACCCTCGGGTGTGGCAGATGTCCATGGGCGGCGGTATTTACTTAACATCAGGTAAACCGTCTGCTCGTTTGACAACTTTTCGCATAAAAAAAAAAAAATACTGTTTCGCAGCCAGCAACGCATTTGTGAGCCCTCGGGTGTTAAGTTCATCACACAATATGTTTCCAGTAGCGGGGATCGAACCCACACCATCTAGCGCAAGTGACAGGGTCACTATCCACCACGCTAATTGGAATAAGGAAACCTTTTACATTATGTTAACATACGAAAAATTTCCCCAAAAATTACTCCTCTCTTCCAAAACTGACACGCAACTAAGCTGAAGTAGAGCAACAAATGTAGGGAAAGTGAATAATAGGATACTATTAAAATCTGTGTTATTGAACAGTCAATGTTGTATAAGATTTTAAAGCAGTAAAACAGAAATAAATAAAACAATTACTTTACTACATCACTAATTATAAATATAACCATCCTCGTCTCCGATAAGGTATAAGGAAGGTTTTTTTAGACAAATAAATTTTATAGCAAAACGACGAAAACTCGATTTTGAATAGTCCGACAATGGCGCAATTTTACAAAGTACACTTGATAAAACAACGATAAAAAAACCGGCCAAGTGAGAGTCGGACTCGCAAACGAAGGGGTACCATTATCTATAAAAACGGGAAAAAAATCATGTCTGTTGTATGGGAGCCCAACTTAAATACTTTTTTCTTCTGCCCCACTTCAATATTTTTTTCTTGTATTTTAGTATTTGTTGTTGTAGCGTCAATAGAAATACATCATCTGTGAAAATTTCAAATGTCTTACTATCATGGTTCATGAGATACAGCCTGGTGAAATACGGACAGACAGACAGACAGACTGCGAAGTCTTAGTAATAGGGTTCCCTTTGGATACGGAACACTAAAAAGGACTTCAAATACGATATAGAATAAGGCTCTCGCTAGTCTGAACTCGGCTAGAGATCACGTGCACTCACTAAATTGGCATTTAAGTCGCACGGAATTAATGTTGGCCTAATTGGTACCGCTGTTGGAATAGTAAAAATATTTCCCGGCAACTCGAAAATGGTGTATTTCTAAAGTTAATTAAACAAAACTCACAAGATACCTCATCATTATATACCAAGTAGACAAATATAATTGACTACATATTATTACTGTTCATTGAACTTATAAAATATATGTACCAAACTCTATTCTGGTATTAAATTCATTATTGTTTTATTTTATATTTGACATGGAAAAGTCAACAAAAAGACTTATGTTAAATATTGTTCATCTTTTTGCATTTTGTTGGGTAATTGAATAACTGTAACAAGTAATCTTAAGACTTGTGGAAAATGTACGAATAATTCGAACCCACGTTTTCCGGATCCGCGCCCAGGCGTTTTAACTACTAAGCTAAACGGTTGATTTCCACACCGAAATTCTCAATGTATTTTATATTTGTTGTTTCTTTTCGCATTTTAAGTAATTCTTGACGCATATTTTGTTATCTCCTGTTCAGCAAATAAACAATTTAAAATGTCGTTTTACACAACGCTAGTACTTCGTTACAGCATTATATAATTATTTAGTATGTATTAGTATTGTATCATTTTATCTGATGTTGGTATAGAATTTTGTTAGTAGGTATAACATTATATAGTGCAGATATTTTTAAATTCTTATCTTCTTCTTTATTCTTCTACCTAAACTTTTCTGGACCATCCCAAGTTTGACTGGGAAATAATGCTGATGGCGTTAAGTCCGCCTTTGTAAATATAATTATGTTCGTGCATAATGAATAAATAAATAAATAAAACCCGGCAGCAATAGACAATGTGAGGGAGCATAAAAATTATTTTGAAGACAGGATGAGGTCTCCCAATACAAAATGGGGTCGCGTCACGGTAATCCTTCAGGAATTTCTTCAGCTTTAGACGTAAATGTATAGACTGTTGCCTATTTCGGAACCTTTTGATATCGACCTCTGATTAACCCTAAGGACCCTCGCCCCGACGTAACTACGCAATCTTCTATAATCAGGACCTCTTTGACCTCCTTCATAAATCACATGGGGCTTTGAGTATGGAATTAGCTAAACACTAATCAAGCATTTAGCACTAAGAAAATTCTTTTTAACGTTGCCTCTGAATTCCGTACACCGGTCACGTACTCCACTAAATTGAGGGATAAGACAAGTGGAACTAATGCCGCCTCTAATTGCTTTTGTGTTAGAAATAATGAGCCTTTACGGATGCATTTCGCTGAATCCGAAATGAGGTTAACTGAGTGAATGTTAAAAGTGAAACAATTAGTTGTGTATTTGTATTGTATAACATAGAGTAAGAAGTGAAAGCTAATATTTCGTTGCACTTGCTTAAACAAAACCCCTGCTGTATGATCGGATTTTTATTTACTGCGTTGTTAAATACGTTATACAACGATTGTTCCGCAGCGAAATCCAAAACACAGGATGAAACGATGATAACAAAAACTATTTTTATTAACATATTAATATTTTGTATATTTTTACAGTTTATTAATATGTATATTAATGTCATTACTTATCAGAGTAACAAAATTGTTGCCATAGTTTTTTCAGGGATGGACGAGACTTTGTAGTCAATGATGTTGGACTACCCCCACTGGATGGTGTGACGACCTGTGCAAATGTGCAGGTCGTATCAACTTCTCACACAGCTCAGCGAATTGCATGGCACCAAAGTCGTCATCTTTCTCCTGCCCTTATTAGATTAGCCCTTATTAGCTTTATATAACTTTTTGGGGTTAAAGATACAATCATGTCGTAAACAACCAGATACTCTTTTAAATGCCTCAACATCTGGTAATGACATTAATAATAGAAAACGACGATGAGTTCCCTCGTTTAATGATTGCGGAGAATTTAAACTTAGGCGCTGCTGCAAAAAAAACATACGATTCTTTAAAGGAATTAAAAGGATTATGAAAGCATCCATAAGCCCTTTTTGCGTGTATCTAAGAGTTAATACAGGTTAGAGTCAGTCATAAATATGGGCCGTTTTCGAACGTAAGTGTTTCCTGCCCTCGTTTAGGATATAATAAGATGACCCGCCCGACCACGCTTTATACTCGTGTTAACTTTTATCAACTGGCCCATATATAAAAACATTTAGGAGCCTTTGGATATAGAAACATTTTATTTTCGATAGAATAACAAGTATCTTAAATGTTTATGCGGCAAATCATCAAAAACAGGTTTAATTCAAATCCGCTATGATCATAATATTTTGAGGAAAAAACATCTAAACATAAGCTTTCCCATTTACACAGAAAATAATTCTCATCTGGAAAATATGGAAAAACATGTGTAGTCGTACCCACAACATGATGGCAGATATTTTTAGATCTTCAGAATCTGAGTTTACGAAGAATTGCCAATTTGAATGAGGCTCGTAACCTACGCCTCTAATAATAATTTAAATGTTCTTATTTTATTAATCTAACCTCCTATTAGGAGACAATCAAAACAATTAAGACGTAACAATTTATTATTTTCCATCGATCGATTCAGCAACTACTAACGGCTATTAGTGAAATGAGCAGATTTTTAAGGAACTTGCGGATTGACTTCTTAATAAATATATTTTTTGTTAACAGATAACATATAAGGCGTGTTGTAGATTATTCTTCTATATTATACCCAGAAATGGCTAGTGGTTACCTATTACTGTCGAACGCTGGGATGTAGTGA